GAATGCCAAGTACAGATTTTACATTAAGTAGAGATTTTCTTGTTATGCAAGATGACCAAATGAATGTCATAAATTCATTCAAGTCACAGAATCTTGATGTAGATGATCCTACACATCTTTCATCAGTTGCAGGAAATTCAAACAAAGAAAATAATACAGATCCTTTAGCTGCATCTAAGGAACAAGAAATTAATGAAATTTTAATGCCTACTGAAGAGAAAAAAGATGGTGAAAGAAAGAATGTGAGACGTTCAAAACGTCGTATAAATGATAAAAAAAATTTTTGTATGTAATTTTATTACTTTTTTATTTAATTAATGATAGACTAAATCTATATTCTTTATAGGTTGTGATGACTGTGATGATCTATGTACTGGTGATAACTGCACTTCACATAATGTATGTACAATAGCAGATCAACCAGTACCATCACGTGCTATAGCAACACTGCCAGGGTCATATCTTTCCATAAATAAGTTACCTGCTTCTGAAATTGTATCAGGTGAATCAGATTATGGAGTGTTTGCAAAACGTTATATACAAAAACGTACTCAGTTCGGGCCTATAGAGGGTATCTTATATCCTTATGATGGTACACCATTTAGAAATGAATTGCCATTGCTCTATGAAACTGAAAATAAAGAGTTTTTGAAAGTAGATGTTTCAAATGAAAGTAGGTTTTCATGTTTTGGAAAACAGTATCTAATAAGTTCAAAATATTTTCTCAATATTTAAAATGTTTTATTAAAAATTTAGATGCTTCAAATTGGATGCGTTTTGTTAGACCTGCATTAACATATAAAGATCAAAATGTTGTAATTTGTCAACAACGTGACGGAATAGTATTTTTGACTACAAGAAGTATTTTACCAAAGGAAGAATTAAAAGCTGGTCCTAGTATTGATTATGCAATTCGTAGAAATTTAATACCTCTTAAATCTATACAAGAAACAAAAGATGATAAAGGTATACGGGTTTTAAATATAATATTTTCAATTATATTTATATTTACATTATTTTTAATTACAGAGCACAAAAATCAATTATCTACTTGGTCACGATTAGACGATAACCATTCCCGACGTATGAAAGTATTTCGTGGTAGAAATTTAAAAGAAAAAGAAAATTCAAGGCAAAATAATTCTAAGGAATGGAAATGTTCTGTTTGTGGTTTAATTTTTAGAAAGCCACTCTTGCTTAATTTACATACCCTCGTTCATAGCTCTGATAAAATAAAAACTAAAGTTCAATCCACAGTCTGTCCGCAATGTGGACTACAATTTCAAAAACAGAAAGAATTGATTAATCATATTTCACAGCATGGAAGATTATCTTTAAAAAAAGCAAAACGATTGTCTTCTTTGTCTACATATAAGTGTTCAATGTGCTATAAACGTTTTGCAACAAAAGTGCGATTACAACAGCACTGCTTAGTGCATGGTGCTGAAGACCAAAAACCACTGCCATGCAACATTTGCTTTAAAAGATTCATGAATAATTCAGCACTCTCTTGTCATTTAAAAACACATAGAGGTGAATTATATTCATATTAGATTAGTCTAATTGTGATTAAAACAGTTTCAAAATATATAATTTTAATTAGAAAAATATTTTTAACTATTCTTACTTTTCTGTTATTCAGAAAATAAACAAGTATTTGAATGTCCAATGTGCAGACAGCTATTTAGTCAAAGCATAACATTGAAAGATCATATTGAAACTCATAAAAATGAAGATGGCACATTTAGCTGTCCTTACTGCCAAAGAATATTTATTAAATATTCGGTTATTCGTAAACATATTAGAGCACATCACTGTGAAAGAAAACACAAATGTCAAATTTGTGCAAAACGATTTGCCACAGTGGATAAGTTACAGATGCATCTACTGAAACATTCTGATCATAGGTATATTAAGATTTACATACCATTTAAAGTAACGATATACGCATTATAACATGTATTTTCTGTATTTTTTCTTTTTTTTTTTCTTTTTCATAGAGAATTTCATTGTGCAAACTGTGGAAAACAATTTAAAAGAAAAGATAAATTAAAGGAACATATGACAAAATTACATAATTCACAAACAGCTACAGAAGAACAAATGTCACAAGTTACACAAACTAAGAAATTTGTTCCAAAGGTATCTTTATCTTTTTTAGTGAAAGAAAATTATTTAACAAAAATAAATAATTGTTAACAACAATTTCATTATATCACCAGGTAAATCCTAATGATTATAATCGTTTCATTTACAAATGTCATCAATGCTTAGTGGGTTTTAAACGAAGGGGAATGCTTGTAAATCATTTGGCAAAACGACATCCAGATGTTGCACCAGAGTCTGTGCCAGAACTAAATTTACCAATTTTACGCCAAACAAGAGATTATTATTGTCAATATTGCGATAAGGTATATGATATACTAGCGAAATAAAATAAATTATATTTATTACGTATTATTTTTATATTACTTTGCTTTAAAGGTTTACAAGAGCAGCAGTAAACGTAAAGCGCATATCATGAAAAATCATCCAGGAGCTGCTTTGCCGCCAAGCAATCGACAGAAAGAATCGGATTACTCCGATTTACCAAACCCAACATTTAGCCAAACTGTTGGTAGCATTACAACTACACCTCAAAGTTGTCAGTGGTGTCACAAACAATATGCTAGTAAAGTAAGTCATGAAAATATGAATAGTTATATTATATCAAAATGACTTTTAAAAAATGTGCTTATTTTTACAGGCAAAATTACTACAACATCAACGAAAGAAACATTCTAATTTAATGGAACCAGCTGATCAAGTACCGCGTTCGCGTAATCGACAGCCACAGAATCAGAATCAACCTCCGGTACTTATTGAAGATCATTTCGTATTGTCTGATTATATTCAGGCATGTGAAACAAATTCAGATTTTTTTAAACCGAGAATAATCAAAATATCTGATGATGTTGATCTAATAAGCAATGGATTAGACATAGTTGGACAACAATTTGTTCGTATGCGTGACATACGCTGAAAAGGTCTGTGGCAATCTCGATACGAGGTTTTGTCAATTTAATGAGATATGAATCTCATGAGTTTGTACACAGTAAAGAAACACTGTGCTTTTTGCTGCTGTTGCCAAATAAGGGCATTGATACCCATGAGGAGTAATTGATTCTCCGCTGAGAAATATTTGGAGCGCAGCTTGGTTAGCGTCAGTGCGAAACACTGAGCGCTATTTTGTTGGTTGTATGGTTGGCAATGATGTCATGACCGTAATTCGGTCGTAATTTTGAACAAAAATTTGTTGAAACGGAGTACACACTATTTTATGAATACTTTGAGCCCAAGGCCAAAACATGGACGAAGATTTAAATGTTAACACACAATGGGAAACACAACATGGAGATTTAAGACTTAAACACAATGGGAAACATGTTAGTTATTGAGATCTTTGCTCAAGGTATTATGAATACAGAGCACAAACAGGTAGAACAAGTCCTTTTATTGTCGGTATATCGCTGACATTAACTCTAGTAGTTTCTTTTAAAATTTCAAAAAAGCTTCAATTCGATGTGATTCAATTATGGATGTTAGAGTGATCGAATTTGAGCTTCAAGTTTAAAGTGAAATTTAAACACGGCTTAAATTTGAAAAATGCGATGAATCTTAGATCAGTGTAATTTCGTCTATACTATGTGATTTTTTTTATAGATCTGATCGTAGTATCTACATGTTACATCTGACTTTGATGATAAAACAGTTGTCTGTAGATTACACAAAATGTTGTAGTCTGTAAAGAATCGCCCGATCACTTTTACTCTTTCTCGTAATTCACAATTTTTTGTCATAATTGCTCGTATCAATTCTCATCTAGAAGAAGATATCTGTCTTTTCAATCTAGATTTTTGATCAGTCGGATTCTTTTTCGCGCAAATCTTTCAGACTTACTAGTTTCACTAACAGAATTTAGTGTAACAGTTTTTGCATCCATCATATTCATCGAATTGAAATATCTGGTTGAAGTTGAAGGTATTAATAGTAACATAGACAAGAAAACTTTTGTCTTTGTAATTTTATTTATGATGCATGTAAAAATTGCTAACTTTAAAACTACATGTTCATGTACATTTTACCGATTTGTCAAATTATGACAGTAAAATACTGTTAATTCTAAATGATAATTTCATAAACGTAATTTCATATACCATGGATTGGCAAACAAATTAAAATTTTGTTTTACATGCATTATATACACATAATATGATAAATATTATGGAAAAACGAAGACAAAAGAGTGCATGTTTGTTAATGTTGTTGAGTACATGGAGAAATGTATTGTAACGTGACTTAAATAAAGTTACCCGATGACTGATCTATGTACGATTTATTGTATCGCAAAATTGAATCCCACAATTTTCTATTTTCTATTTTCTATTATATTCACACTGTAAGAATACTTTATATTTATTACATTACGTAAAATTATTACATTATACTAGTTGATACCGACAGACATCAAGTAAATTCGTATTAATAATCAGAGAAAAAATGCTGAATGTATTTATTTATTTTGATAGCCCGAAATCGTTTTACTTTTTTCATAAAATTTTATTTTTGCTTTTTTTATTGACAGTAATTATAAAGAGTCTTTAATATCGAATTTAAAAACAATCTTATTAAATGCGATTATACCAAATCATCTTTCTTTCTGAACCGTTTTGTAAAATTCTTTTGACATTTTTCTTGGATTTTCTGAATAATTTACTTTATATGAATCTTTCACCGTAAACGTAATATAAAATGTCGATTACACAGTACTGAGAAGAATTAACTACATAATTATGTTGCAAGATATAACATTCTGAAATTTATTAGTATATTCTTATATGTGTTGCGGACGACGACCCCTACCCCTTATTCACGCTATTATGACCAAGTTTCGCGCGATAATACAGTCGTCAATAAAGTGACTTTTAAGTGAATGGTCGGAAAATAACCAAACGTGTAAGATACGAAGTATATAGGGCGAATATTGCAAATTATTTCGCAATTATTGATATACTTATGCATATAATTTTTCACCAAAAAATGCAAAAGGAAGAGAAGCATAAATGAGATAAAGCACGACATAATTGTCATGTCTCGTGTTCCACTGACCCATTATTCCGGTTCAGTTACATTATAAGATCAAATGTTTAAAATTCCAAATAGGCCATATATATTCCTTACCAGTTGTGGAAATTATGGTATGCCGCGAAATAAAAACTATCAAAATATCCCACCGCCGACTTCTATCGATGGTGCTGGAGAATAAAGCGTTCCATAAGCATATAATAGCTTATCTAGTCACTTTGAAGAGTGATTAAGCCAGTTTTTAAGTAATGTCTTCGAGAAGTATAGTAAACGTGCTAAAATTTTGTAGTCTAGGCAGAAAACAAGAATTAAGTATATTTATACATATGCAATGTAATTGAGTCATACGAATTAAGTTACACTTGTATTTTAAATTAAAAATTTTAGTAAATAAAAACAATCGAAAGGTATAAAATAGTTGCATACCTGTTGCAAGGTTTAACGTCGACTTCTAAATACTGGAAGAGTATAATGTCAGTCAATATGTACACAGCTAGTGCAAAGGATGAACTTTGAGTTGTCCTCTCTGAGATTAGCATACACGTAAGTACACCACTGACGATTCTCATCTTTCCACGCGACGGGTTATAATCCCCACTTTTAATTTTCATTTGATTTAGCGTAAATTATGTATGTTCTTCAATACATAATTAATATTTAATTTATACAAATTTTATCAAAGACACATATAACAAAACTTTCATAACATCCTTTAAATTATGTATATGTAATTTAATTTTGTATTATGGAGTTATAAAGCAATATAATTCATAAATTATGCTGTAGGAAGTGTGTAACAATAGAATATATACCATCTATGAAAAGATACTATGCAAAAAGAATCCTTTAATAAACTAAAAATAGAAATTAAATGAATATACAAACCGAATTCCCTTTACATGTAGGTATATAGTATAACTTTTGGATTGTATACTTAAATACGAGCTAGTTATATTATAAATTTTTTAAGTAAAATTCCATGTTATAGACGAATCATTTTTGAATTTCTAAAGGATAGGATCTTCGGGATATGTAAAAATAAATTATTCTAAATTTATAATAAAAATAAAGTTTGTTAACAATTTATGTGGGCAATCTAACGACACTACAACATTTATATAAATACTGCAAACTAGGCACATTGACTCTTACATTGAAATACTTGTAGGTACATGCGTATAAATCTATAAAATTCATAACATTCTCGTTAATTACTATAATACTATTTAATGCGCCATTCGAATAAACGGATTGCGCAACAACTATACTATGATTTAACAAATCACGATTACAATACAATTATCAATGCCTCGTTTGTGGACCTTCTTCCAATTTCCGCCAAACCACCTACATAAAATATATATTATTAACATAGCCAGAATGAGTTTTTGTCAAAATAAAATTCTTATACCTAAGTTGTATCTTACATTGCACATTTCTCTGACCAAAGCCTTCTCTCCGTCATGGCCGCCTTCTCTCTCTAGTTGTTCTCTAACTTCGAGAACCTGAAGAGCTCGCACCACTGCTTCTGGCCGACCTCCTATATGAGGATTATCACCTGGACTATTCTGATTTTCCCAGATTTCACCAGGTGGTACCTCCCATCCTTGCGCTCGTGCTTGTAGAACACTTTTGTCTTCTTCAAGTTGCTTTACTCGTTGTTCCAAACTCCTTACGTATTGCATAGTTTGGTCTGCAACACAGATATAAAGATCTAATCAACAATATTCATACAAGAATATATCTACTACGAAGAATCGAAATAACAAATGCGATAATTATACCATTAAACGTAGATGTGTGCCTTGGTCTCGGGGGCGCGGTTTCTTCAGCATTGGTACTTGAACTTGAACCATCTCCGTCGTCTCTTTGACCACCTCCTCTCTCTTCATCTAGATAAAGGCAAAGTTCTTTTAGCTCCAAATTATCCTTTATCAATTCTTGCTGTTTGTTATCCAATTGACGCAATTTATTCTGATAAGCGGATACTTCTTGACGCATAACACTCGCCGTATATCTTCCAAATCTTTGCCATTCCCTTGCTAACTTTCGACCTTTCTGACGATCATCGTCCAGAAAGCAACAAAGATCTCGTAACTCTTGATTATCATCACTTAATCTTTGGTTTGCCTCTTTCAGTGCTCGGAGCTCGCTAAGCTGAAATACGAATTTATAAATAACGAATATCTTTGTATCGTTTCATCACGTAAAAATATATTTCATTAACAATTAAAAAGTCCTAAAATATGTATTACTACTGATTATTAACTTTTCAATGAAAAAGAATCCGATCGTAGCAACAATCGTTCGCGGCTGAACTCACATGTGCGTGACTGATTGAAATTACGATGGTGGACTCAACCCGTGTGACCTAAAAGAGCTTCAAAAACTTCCGTGCGACGTGCTTAAAATCCGTGATCGCATCTTTACGCAAAATTAAATAATGAAACAAAGATGTATCATAACATTACAATAGGTAAGATTACAATTACTTTTACTCCTGCTCGTTTCTATTCTTCGTCTCATCAACATATAAATTTCCATTTATTGTATTATTTATATTATTGAAAGACAGGCGAGAAGCTAGTGAAACTCACCAAGCTCTGTATCTGTCGATTCTGCTCGGCGGCGAGCCTTGCGATATCGCTCTCAGTCTTGCGGACAAACTTAAGCATCTCCACGGGTCCGAGTCTAAGAAACTCGTCGTCGGTGATCCTTTGTCTGAGTGGCGGTGTCTGTGCAGTGTTTACCGTGGGATACTGACCGTTAGGTGGCAGGTACTGACCTTGGCCGACCTTGGCCTGAAGGTAACTATGAGGCTGCGTTTTTGGAATGGGCGCAGTCAAAGTGTTTCCGCCTTGAGGATGATGTCGATGCTCTATCCTCGGCGAATATTTACTTTGTACATCCTTCTGTTGCGGTGCAGATCGTGATTGTACGGATTGGTGATGATTCAAGGTTGTGACAGGACCTTGACCAGAGGTAGACACCGAGGTTGGCACGGTAGGGCCTGTACCAAAGTGAGGATGATTTTTGAGGATACCGCTGATCGGCTGTGGCGGTGGCTGATATCGCGGTGGCACTTGCTCCACTGCCGACTTGATCACGTGCGAAGGATGCTGCTGCTGCGGCTGGGACTTACTCTTATTGGACATCGCGGCTAATTTAGCTCCAGGCTGCGCTGTGTCCCATTTCAGAAAGTCCACCGTGACTTCTTCGTACCGGCCTGTCTCGTTCGACCCGCTAAAATCTGGGTCACTGTACGGTCTCTCTTTCTCCTGCTCTCCTGATCTCTCTCAAGATTGAATATGCTACTTAAGAGGAGGCCCATGCGATATGTACCCTACCTCCGTAAGTCTTACCTTATCGTCCACCGAGTCTTCTGTTTCTTCAAATTTCTTTCCTTTTACTTTTTCTTCTTATGATGATTTTTCTTTGTCTTACTGTCACCTGATTCATTTAAAATATTGTTTGTCTTCTCTTCCATCAACAATTTTTGCGCGCCTCTCCGCTCTCTTCTTCACAGCATCCCGCACGTTGATTCAATGCAGCATACTCTTACACTTCTTAAACGGTAATTATGGGTATTTGAATAATCGTGACAAACTTTTTATCGTTGAATTCTTTAAACACATTGAACGAATCCCTCATTCGTGTTCGCGAACCTTGGCTTCGTTGCAGTATTAAAGAGTCGACGTCTTCACTTTACATAGTAACTCCAAACGATCGCGTGATATGCTCGCGTTCCAGCTATCAGTAATCGGATTAAGGCACAAGAGCACAGTTCTCCAAAAGAACAAAGACACGGTTAAAGCTACGTCGCATGAACACTTATTTTCGTTACGATATCTTGAGAATACTAGCGATATTGCACTCCCGAGAGCTAATGCGCTCAGCCGGGCCCCCGTTTTTCTCGCAGCGGGGCCACCGCATTTCACAAGGCGCAGTGCCGTAACATCAAGTGGGGCATTCCAGTGAAACCTTGTCCGTGATCACACCGTAAAATGACAGAGATAGACTTTCTTACACACTCATATCGATTGTTAATTGATTTAGCTTACTACATATTGATGTGACCATCTCTCTTCCATTTGTGGTCTGTAATATCCGGAAGGAAATGAGATAGTTTAATTAGTCAACGTTACAATACTTTTAAACTTATGTTCAATTCATTTTCATTAGTATCAGCTTTTGAAAGCGTACTCGTATTGAGTCACACATTCTCATTGTATATTTCTTGCAACGTTATCTTCTTTTCCAATAGAGAGGATCAATGGGTTTGAGCGAAAATCGCGTGAAAATCGCGCACTAGCAATATGGCGACGATCGCGCACCTGCGAACCCAGAAACGATTGCGGACGACGCTAGGGCTTTAAGGTTCAGACGCGGGAACGTGAAGGCAAATGCTGATTGGGCCAACTCATTCTTTAAAGGAGGGAGTTAACAGCATGCTTTACTCTTAAAAAGTAAAAAGGAACAACATCTCAAAGTAAAAAACTTTACTTAATCTTTGATTGAATTTTTGAACATCCATTTGAACATACAACGTGTATGATAACATTATACAAATTATGATTAAATAATTTGACCTCAAGATGTAGGTAGGTTGTTAATTAAACATAATCAATCAAATATTTGGATGTTAGTTCACTGGCAGATAGCTTTGGTAAAATTACCCTACTACCAGTCACTTCACACCGTCGTATGGTGTATATCGAATTGTCGCCGGGGTACAGAATATATTTCAACGATTTGTATTACAAATAATTGTATTTATTAGCATTTTGATTTAATTATATGTATACTTAACCTTATTAAAAGTAATTATTAGTATGTTAGCGTAGGTGTTATTAATTATAATAAAAATTATATTTGTTAATTTTTCTTATACTTCTAAGTACTTTTGACATATGTTAACTTAATATTGTTCTTAAAATCAAGTTCAATTTTTAAAAATAAGATATTAATAAGAAAAAAACGAATGTTTATTCTGTTAAAGTTATTGTTTATTGTAAAAAGTAGATATTAAGAATTAGGTATAATAAAAAGTAAGATACGATTTCAAAATAGGAAATAATGAATTCTTTACTCTTTAATGATAAAATACATGAAATATACAATAATTAGTCTTAACAATGGTCAAATAATATTATATATTCTCATTAACTATATTTTTGTATTATTTACGAGTTTGGATATAATGTACAAGTTGGAGTTTAATAAAAGAGTTTGTATATTTATTATTGCACTCTCGAATTCCAAAGCAAATTCTCTGATAAATTTAATTATTTTAATTTTAAAATTTAGTCATTACTAAATATATGCTTTCTTATACTAGAAAGGACCATTGTAAATAGAACGAACTTCCGTAGTCAACCTTTTTTTACACAGACTTATAGATTAAATAGCATTGAAGTCCGGTATTCTCATTTACAAAAGTTGAAATATCGAAATTTATATAACGGAGGGTAGTTGGGATAAGGGTTCAATCGAATGAAATTCTTCAGTGACGAACTCTTTGCTTACGTAAAAATGTACTACACAATTGGAATCTCTTTACAAATAATTTTTAGATTGTACCTAATGTCTGTAATTCAATCTAGATTTTACAAATTTTCTGTTCAAATTTTTCCTCATCTAAACTGAATTGCAAGCATTTATTATTGGCTTGCATTGTTGAATTTGTCGTAAAACTTATCTTCCTTTACCTTTGTTGTACTATATTCAAGTGTATGGGTCATTTACCAGATATGGTACATCAGTGTGTATTGTCTGTGAATATTAAACTTATGTGATAAAGGAATTATTTTCACCGTGATGTATCAATATTATATTTGTGTAACAAAACTGTGTATAAATTTTAATATAAATTGCATTATATATTAATAATAATTTATTAAAAAATATTCTGCTGTCAGAATAAAATTTTCTGATTTCTTTTGTTCTATATTAATTATATTAAATATCTTGTACCTGATATTATATCATTGCTGATAATAATGTGTTTGTATTATGTAACTTGTCACACAATATAATCTTTTATCGTGCTTATCTCATTTGAAACGTAAGCTCATTCTGAAGTTGAAAAGTGAGGTTAATTGCTTACGTGTCTAAAGCGAAGGTATAATAATAATTTTATTTTGATAGAAATAATTTTAATGTGTATATAAAACTATGATAAAGGATTCTTTTCTGTCCTATATGTATATATTTGTATTATTTTTGGTTGAATGTTGAGTGATAATTATTATTATTAAGTCTTTGTTAGGTAGTAATAGATCTTAATATCTAATGGTAGTTGAATGTAGTAATTTTAAATAATTTACGTATATTATAAATAATCATATTTACATTAATTTGCAAAACAAAATGTTTACAAATTTCTACTATTTAATAAAGTAATAATATTGCTGTCTTTTATTTAATACTGCACTAGCATGTATTTGGCTCTGTAATATGTGACAATGGTAGTTCTCTTCTAATATAGTAGGAGCACAATAATTGTAGAATAACGCATTAAAAATAACAGAAGAACAGAGTGAATCAATGGCAAACAAATCCTGGAATGTATTGGTGACAGGGGGTGCTGGTTATATTGGTTCTCACACAGTATTGGAATTATTGGAAACAGATTTTGAGGTGGTGGTAATAGACAACTTTAGTAATACTTATAAAGGTGAGAAGTAACGAATCAAGTTAAACAATATTGATGGTACTTTATAAATTATTGCTATATTTATTGCTATAAAATAATAAATAACATCCTTCAACATAAATTAATATGATAATAATTGTACAAAGTACTAATTGATTAATATAGTTGATTAGCAGTATTTCAGAGGGTGATTTTATGCACATATATAGGATGTATAATATTTGTAATTATAACTATTTCAATAATATTAGTAACACACATTTATCGCTTATCTATTAAACTTTGGTAAAGATAAATTAACATAACAATGCATAATATTTGTTTGTGTTTTTGTATGTAGGAAATGACAATATAAAACCAGAATGCTTATTAAGAGTAGAAAAATTAACAAATAAAAACATTACATTTATACAATGTGATATAACAAATTTAAATGAATTACAAGATGTATTTAAGAAGGTATGATTATAAACCTTATCAAGTATAATAATATATAATAAAAACATATAATTGAAATGATTTTATTTTAGCATAAGTTTGATTCTGTTATACATTTTGCTGCTTTAAAAGCTGTAGGTGAATCTTGTGAAAAACCTTTAGAATACTATAAAACAAATGTTTGTGGAACATTGAATTTATTAAAAGTTATGAGAGAATTCAATGTAAAACGTTTTATTTACTCAAGTAGTGCCACAGTTTATGGC